ATTATCACAACGTGAGACAATCAATGATAGAAATCACAAAACTACGTTTTTTTAAGTTAGACTTATTACTTAATAATATATTGTATTAAATTAATCATTAAGTTTATATTTTGCAATAACGTAAATTTTTTGTTGTACTGATGTAGCTACGAATTTATTAAAAATTACACTTGGATTTCGATGTCATATTTCATTTTGCGTGGGATACTATCTTGAGCAAATAACACAGGCTCACAATTTAAAAAAAGTTGTCTGTGCTGGGGGTCTGACTAGGTGTACTATACGTATTTTGGGCTGCTGAATCCAAATCCGGTGTCAGATTTGCTCCATCACCCTTGAATTTCCCGGAAAATCGAGGAAATCGTGAAAAGGAGCAGATATCCATGTTTTTACGGAGACATGTATTCAAGGAAAATTCTAGAGTGACGAATAACTCTATAACCCCACAACCAACGTTGAAAATACATTATGTACTTCAACATCTGATGACTAGAACAACCCAATAACCCAATAACCCATATACTATCATACATATTCGGTTTTAGTTCACCCATCAATCCTTTAACATCGCATAGATTAGAAAATCTAATCTGTGCGTGCCCTATCATGGTCACATTCATGTTACTGTCCACGAGATGAAGTCTTTTTTCTATTCGAAATATCAATTCTACAATATATGATCGTCGATCAGATAAATCCTGCTGCTTCAGAGGATGTTCGAGACGATGACAACTACCCCGTAAGGGGATGTGTACAATGATTCGTTTTCCATGTTGAAGTACATAATGTATTTTCAACGTTGGTTGTGGGGTTATTCGTCACTCTAGAATTTTTCTTGAATATATGTCTCCGTAAAAACCTGGATATCTGCTCCTTTTCACGATTTCCTCGATTTTCCGGGAAATTCAAGGATGATGGAGCAAATCTGGATTTGGATTCAGCAGCCTAAAATACGTATAGTACACCTAGTCAGACCCCCAGCACAGACAACTTTTTTTAAATTGTGGGCCTGTGTAATTATCATTTTTTCCGCTTTTCCATTTAATTTTTCTACGTAACAAGTGCACTCATGTGAAGCACTCATAAAGGACGCAACCTTTACAAATTGACAACAAAGTTATCATCAAATTCACACATACACATACCTCTACCTATCTAGATATCTCTTGAGAATTTTACTGAAAACGAATTCTCTCCTATCGGATACGCGTTGTAAAACTCATCCAGGAAAAGTGTTGCAGCCTTTAATCGTCCGTCTGTACCGATCAGGCTTGCCGAGGATCGCGCGCGTGCGCGTTACTCTCGCCGTCTCGTCGCCGATGCAAATCTTCTCATCGCAATGCGCCTGCACTTTGACAGTGAAATAATTAAGCAACGAGCGCGCGCTCGTTCGCTCGCGGCAGCACGACGACGACGACGACGTATCGTAGTCGGGATCCGACAATTAATTCCGCGCTTAAATCGATTAGACCACGACCGAAATAGCGGCGGCATGAACGGTGGCCACCTTCCCGACAAATACGGCCGGAATGCCCATCGCGGATGTTATTTGCAATGAAAATGATCGCGTGATCGCACGGCGGCGTAAGTAAATCCTCGCTCTGTTACTCGGCGTCGCCCGTTGTTCCTTTCGTTAACGATAACGACGCGGCAACGTAGTCGTCGCCTTAATAAAGCGCCGGATAAGCGGCGACGGAACGATAGGACCTTACAAATGCAGCCGACCGGTGCTTGCACGCCTCCTCCTCTCCCCTCCCCCTGTCACACAGGCAGAAAAAAGGGGTGCGTGTTGGCGCGCACTTACAGCGATTGTTCAATTTATCTCGGGATAGAACGATTAGACGAGTCCTTCCGAGAGACGTCACGAAGCGAGCGCTTGGAGATGAGTGAGGTCATGCGCGACGTGTGAGGACGTATCCGACGGGGATTAATTGCAGCTGTAACTCGAGAATGTGAATCACGTCCTGCTCGCATTTGTCCTTTATAATCTTAATTAGAGATACGAGCGGAGGCCTCGATGGTTCGTTTAAATTTTCAATTTCATTACCGAGGTAAAAGGTAAACCTGTAATATATATGTGCGTGTAACATGTGCATCATGCAAAAGTTGATCAAACTAACAATGCGTAACAGTAATTTCAATGTCTTTACCATATCGTCGCCCGAGATATTTAAGGAAATTCGTATTGTGCAATATATAGAACCTCTATACTATGACCGCCTTCTTCCAGTTTGAGATATTTGTACATGGAAAGAATTTTATAATAAAAATTATTGTAGGATTTTATAACCGAGAAATAGATCGACGTTCAGCGGTAATTGACTATCCTTTCATTTCATGTTATATTTTAGGAACTGAAATATGCCATTATAAAACATTTGCTACTTTTCTTGTGAAATCTGGTATGTTACCAACGAAATTTACCGTGTTTTTCAGCAAGATGGACTACTGACAGTCTATTCCTAGACTACTAAAAACATAGTAAAGTTGAAAATAATTTATATAATTTACATGAAAAAAACTATAATATTCTCTCCATATATATAACGTATAAGTTTGAAAAATAATCATAATAAAATGAATATTTAAATATATTTCAATGAAATATTACACAAATTTGCCGTCTGGTTGAAGGAAAATCTAAATCTTTTGATAGAGAATACTCGTGAAATAAACAATATAAGAGTGAAAATATGGCAACCTTACATGCACGTAATAAATTAGTGCTGAATCTGAAATAACCTCATAAAGTCACTTCTGTATTGATTTCTAGATTCACATATTCTTTATTTTAACATAACACATCTATCATTATTTCCAATTCAAATTAAACAAAGTCAAATATATATTAAATACAATAACGAATACATATTTTATATTTATATATTTTTTTTATTTTTATTTTATATGTATATATATTTTTTTATATCTTTTTTTATTGATATTATATATATTTTTGTATCTATATACTATGTATATATATGTATATATATATGTACGTATGTATGTATGTATGTATATGTATATATATAGTTGTTTGTATATTTTTTTTATCATTAGTATTTATCAAATGAATGTCCCACAACTTTTATTTTGTACTTCTTTTAAAATAAAAAATGATTACGTATTATGACATTAACAAATTTCATCTCACTGCTATTGTTGCAAAATTATTCTGTTTGGTCATTTTAAACGATTTTATTAATAAAATATTGATTGGCTAGTAGCGTTGAAATCTCTTCAACTAGTGATTACACAGAGTGATTGGATGGATCCAATTGCTTCCGTGCAAGCGTAACAATTTACCCTTCCGTAATGTTTTCTATCGTGTAAGATTTCCCTCGTTGCTAAAACAAGATTCTATATTCTGTGGTCTACATCTGTTTCTGAAAGTATTCGGAGAAACTAAGTGGAAGAAACTATAGTGAAAACAACCGTAATTAATTCCATTAAGGGATGCTGAAGTCGATAGCGAATTCCAAAAATATCGATAACATAGAGACGATTATCAATACAATTACACTATCCTATTCGTATTTTTTATACATACAGAACTTACATAAATATACATAAATATGTGTTGTATTATCATATTCAGCGAAAAACCTAATAATGCATGTGTAGAAATCTTTCTGCAAACTCTCCGAATATTATTAAACATCTGAATTCAGAAGGTATAGCGATATTTTAAAAAATTTTTTTGTTTGGAATATCCACTCTTTCGGTATATACAAACTACTTTTGAATTTAGCAAATATTACGCTGACAGCTTGAGATTTTACATTTAATTTTTTTTTCGTTGTTATCACATATTGAGTAATGTTCCTATTTATTTTTGCATATATTTTTATTGTGTAAAAGCATTTGTAATTCTATACAACGTAACTTTAAATACGACGTTTAATACGACGTCAATTTTGTTTAAGAATGTTAGTATTCTGTCGGTAAAATTTTCATCTTCAGCATCCCTTAAGGCTGTGCTATTTTCGCGCATAAATGGTCCGTGCAATCTTTATAAAGTATCCATAAGTGACGTAAGTCATATCATATGACAACTTTGTTCCTAATAATCGTAATGCAGTTTTTAAATCGCGATAATATCACAAACAAAATAGGTGTCGGACATTTATTATAGAAAGGAAAGAAATCCAGGCGCGAATAGTTTTCTTAAATAATTGCCAAGCTCGAAGAAAGGATTGCACAAATCATTTTCTTATATCCTTATAAAATCATGTAAAACGCTTGAGACCATCAAAACATTTATTAACTCCTATAATGGCACATCTTGCACGTTGTTATCACTGATACACATTTTATTTCTCTCCCTTACTTTTTCTCTCTCTCTTTCTCTCTCTCTCTCTCTCTCTCTCTCTCTCTCTTCCTTTCGCCGCAAGTTCATTTTGAAATTGCTGTATCGTCACGAGGAAATGTGAAAACCGATACCTCGTGCATGCTCTCGTTCGACGAGAGAGGTAACTCGCTCGCACACATTGAACCGTAATCAGCGTCAAGCAGCGCGCGCATTAAACGTCGAACACTCTAATTAATCCACCCTGTCTCTTTAACATCCGACGAGGCGTAGCGTGCGCGCGCGCGCGCGCATCGTATTTCGCTCACGCACGTCGCGGCGAAAAAGGCAAAAATAGGGAGAAAAGAAGCCCAGGCGCGAATGACGTTTTAATGTGCGACTCTGAATTCGCGCGTATACTATACGCACTCACGCACGCACGCAAGCACTCACTCACGCACGCACGTGTGCACGTGGGCGTGCAATTCCAAGCGGCCACGCGTTACAGCACTTCTAATAGCTACTATTATGCGCACATAATGGGGGTAATAGCTGCGACTCCGGATAAATCGATCACCATTACCGCTCCTATTACCCGTAACGACCGTTTCCGAGGAGACCTGACCAACTCTATCTATCCCTCTCTCTCTCTCTCTCTCTCTCTCTCTCTCTCTCTTGCGCTCTCTCTCTCCGTTTCACTCGCGGCTTCCAGGTGAGAACAGCTGCAACTCCACCGGCGGCGGCAGCGACGAGGAACTCGGCGCGGGCTGCGGGGACGACATAAACGGCAACGGGGGCAAGAAGAAGCACCGTCGCAACCGGACGACCTTCACGACCTACCAGCTGCACGAGCTCGAGCGGGCGTTCGAGAAGTCCCACTACCCGGACGTCTACTCCAGGGAGGAGCTCGCCATGAAGGTCAACCTTCCGGAAGTTCGTGTCCAGGTGAGTCACACACTCGCCGAACACAGGTCGACCGAATGCGTCGTTTCTTTCTTCCTTGTATGATTTCGCAGGTGCGAAAGTACCCAGATAGACGAGCTCACGTAAGTTTGGCAAGCGTATTTATTAGTCGATTTGCCAAGGTTGCATCACTTATCAGTGCTTCGTATGGCACTCGTATATCTCATGAATGACGAAATAAAAACGCGAAAAGAATGATCAAGACTAGCTCAAAACTGTACGGCTCGTAATATACGATAGTCCCTACTTGAAATTTGACTCACGTAGAATACTCAGATCTAAATTACAAATTATACCAAAGTTTTTCATTTTATTTTATTTGAATTATACAGTATTCATGAGATATTGCATTTGTAGGGTAAAAATCAATGTCTGGATACTGCTACCTAAATCTGTCTAATTCTTTAAATACGAATATATATTTAAACTTTATATATACATACATATATATTGAATATATACATATATTCTATATAGATTAATATAGATTCGTATTTAAAAACTAAAATAATAAAAATATCAAGGATTAGGAACCAATATTATTAGTACTCAATTATTAGTACTTTTATTAATTGCAATTTAATTTAAAAAAGTCGCATATGATTCTAGATTCAAATCTGAATATCTCACTTGAGACAAGTTTCAAATGACTATTGATGCAGACCTATGTTATGCAAAGTTACAAATGTAATATGAAAATTTGAGTGCAACCCTTAGTAAATATGTAACCGAATCAATATAACAGCGCATTTTCACATCGTTGTATGATGTAACTCTCATAATTAATTCAATGCAATAAATTTGCCTCATAAATATAATTGTAAAGTTTCTGCTATCGATTGTCGTGATAATCGTGAAAGTCTATCTGGGTATAACTGCACGAAAATAGGAAGAAAGATATCTTCTTAAAAAACGTGGAAGGAAAAGTTTTTACTAATATCTCGCGGAGGTCTCGTTTAATGAAGCGGCATCGAGTCCTGTTAGAGTTAATCACGTCAACGAGTAACCGATATTTCTATCAGTCTCGTCTGTAATTAACGATAATTAGCAATCCCGCGACGACGGAGCGACGAAAGAGAGACGCGTGTCAAGGAGTGCATGAAAGTTACGGTCGGGCACGTATGTCATTTTGCTCACGACACAAGAAGCCGTGTTTTACATATTTAGCCGGGAATCTGCGCTACACGCACGCATACATAATGTATTTTCCTCCGTGGAATCGAAATTTGACGAATACGAACGTCATGTTCGTCGAACGGCTCGGGATAACGCTGGCGTTTCCGTGCAAACAATCGGAACGGCAATCGCTGCCTGGCGCTCTGGGCCGGCGTATTAAACTAAATTAAATTAATTATGTGCGTGACAGCGATAAAAGCACGCAGTCGCGTGCGACGATGCATCGATTAGACTCCCAGGGGCACGCTTGCCGAGCGGCGTGTACGACCAGTGCCGCAGCTACGGTGGTTACTGCGATTCCACAGAGAAGCAGAACCTAAATTTCAAGGTGTTCCTCCATTCTTCTTTCTCTCTTTCTCTCTCCTTCCCTCTCGCCATAAAAAAACGTCCTTTTTCCTTCTCTTCATTGATATCGCCTAAGGATTCCCGCGCCAAAAGCCAGTCATTGATCCAGAAGATGTCAGAGTCAATATTACGTAAATAAAGTGTGAGATGCCGATTCTTTTGTCCGTTGTCGATTCTTTTTAGATATACAGGTGTATTTGATAGCAACTTTATCAGTCGATTTGTACGCAGAGAAAATATTATAGTTTCTTTTCGTGTAAATTCTCTCCAATTTTACTAAGTTCGTAGTAGTGCAGGCGAGAATATATTGTCAGTAAGATAAGATTGATCTGAAGAATATAGTAAATTCCGCTAAAAATATGCAAAACAGCATATTTCAGTTCCTAAGATATAAATAGGACATATAAAATAAAAGTATATTATTCAGAAAGGATCAATTATACTGCAGAATACCAACCTATTCCTCGGTTACAAATTCTTATAGTAATTTTTACGGTAAAACTCTTTCTTCGTGTAAAGGTTACATCCCTTACGAATAGCTAGTACAGCATTTACACTTATTACAGAGAGTGTCGAAATAGAAATGCAAAAGCAATTATACAAATTACAAATTACAAATTACACAAATACAAATTACAAATTATACAAATTTGATTAGAGCAATATATCATGTAAAATTTAATATCAGAAACCGAGTGTAATATTTATCAAATTAGTTGCTATATCAATATAATAACAAATTGATATTATTACATGATGAAAGCTTAATGATGAATTCAATGCAGTGTGCTTGCTTCATTAATGTAACCAAAAGAATGCAAAGTCTTCGTTATTAAATATCGTGTTACATCATGAAAGCCGAACTGTTTTGGTTCCTACGTTAAGAGTTTGATGTAGCGCGCGGTGCAGTTGTATTCGCGAATTTTTCTGAGGTAGCTTGATTTCACTTCCGCCGAATGCACGGCAAGTCGCTACCTTCTGCGCGGAGTAAAATCGCCGTGAGGATCGAACGAGTCTCGAATCAAGGCGAAACTCGAGGCAGCGTGTAACCTCTCGCGATAATAATTGCAGAAAATAATAATAGTGCGTAAGCATATATATTAAATGCAGTTATTAAGCATGCTTTGAGGCAACCGGCTGACGTAGACCGGCTGTGCTTGCACCCGCGTTATTACACGCAGTTTGCAATTAGGGGGTTGAAGAGGGAAGAGAGAAGGAAGAGGGAACGCGCGCGATATCGATAATTTCATTTTTCCGAATGCATTCCGCCCCTCGGACGGAAGAGGATTAAAACTAAGAGAGCCAATGAGGAAGTCCGCGAGAGAAAAAGAGGAAAAGGAGAGAAAAAAAATCACAGAGTCCCGGCTCCGTCGTCGCCACCTTGCTACGTTATTGGGCGGGGCTCACGGCAACACGGTTGGGATAATAACTCGACCGGCGGCCTTACGAGCACCTGCTTCTTTTTCTCTTTTTTCTCTCTTTCTCTCTCTCTTTCTCTGTTTTTTTCCTCTTTCCTTTTCCTTCTCTCTTACCTTCTCGAGCGCGGAATTGATTTTTACCGAGGCGCCCGCCTTGAGTTTCCACTGCCGCGCGAAAGGCTCTCGCCTGCCTGCCTGCCTGCCTGCCGGCGATGGTCAAGATTACACGTCGATTGCAATTAAGGCTTTATCGAGGCGACCGTACTAATTCGTAGTGTCGTGGGCATTCGGCTCGTTAGGGTTACCATTAAACACGCAATGCAAGAAACATGGGAATTACCGTTCGCGTCTTAAGTGGATTATGAACGGCCGATGCCTCGGAGAAGAGTAAGTGACGATTTAGAGAAGCGGCCGAGGTAAGAACGAGCAAACGCCATCGCCTACCCCCGCTCTCCCCTCCCTCCCTCCCGTCCGTTCTTTGCCCTCTTTCGTTGGATCCGCGTCGAAGAGCCGGAGCAGCTTTCATTTCGTAATTAACAAGCGGTTCGTATCGCGAGATAAGCATGTCGCTGGTAATACGCTCAGTCTATAATTCACCCTTCCCCTTCTTTTCTCGCTCCGTCGAATAGATGGCAGATAAGCGATCGAGGAAGTAAGTTGGCTACAAAAAAGAACTTTAAACAAATGACTAATCGTATTGTGAAAGCGTGTAGAGGGATGGATATGTGGGAAGTGGAGTGAGTGGAGGAGAGAGGGAAGGATGAAAATATTTCGCTTATCGCTTTGCCCCACGGGTGTCGGTAGTGGTACGGTATAATTTCACGCGTGACGCACGAGAGAGAACGAGGAAGCCGCACGATGAACGGTGAATGCGCTGCGTACTTATGCGCGTTATCACGAGAAATTATTGCCTCGATAATAAGGCGCGTCGGCAGAGGTAATAAAGCGTGTAATGAGCATCGATGCGTTGTTAAGGAGGCGGAATGGGCGCGATATGTTAGGACTCGCAATCTCTCGCGATATCGCGCGCCGTAACGCCCGGCTCTCAATCTCGGAGGTAGTGTGAAATTAAGTCGTGAGCGTTGTAACAACATCGTCCCCCTCCGGAAATGTTGTAATAAGCGTGCGCGGCGATCTTCGTGAGAGTAAGGATCATCTCTCGCCGGGACGCGGCGTAATGATCGCGCGTAAACGCGTCTGCAAACACAATTTCGCGTGTGTAACTTTTAAATGTATTTCATTTATCATTTCAGGTGTATAAATTATATATATATATATATATATATATATATATATATATATATATATATA